ACATGTACAGAAGCTCGCGTAGGTACTGAAGTCCAATATAAACTTTTAAGCTAGACTGTAGCTACACAGTGCAATCCTTGCAAATATAATCTAATTATCGATCTAATAATAGGCGCTTAAATAGAAGATTCCATTATTTAGCCACAAGATATCCTTTGCTTTTAAAAGAAAGTGTACATCGCTAAATTGGTTTTCAGCCACAAATAACGCTTCATGTATTTGTAAACTGTGCCCTCAAATCATAAATATAATATATACCCAGTGAGCATCTTCAATTCATGAGTAAACATTTTCGAAAGTCCGCTTTGCTACCATGAACAGGATAAAAAAAAGAGATTGTAAGCAAGTTAAATTTCTCCACATACACGTTTTCAAAAAAAGCTTTTATCTGAAATTATATGGAGAGCTTATGACGCTCTGTTAGGCTTGGAATCAACACGATCAGAAAACGATCTGCAACAAGTGAGTGTTTCACAAATAAGGGTATTAATCGAATGATGAGTTCTGTGATCTCCTCGTTTCACACACAATGAGGGTTCCATGTTAGCCTTTTCCTGCCCTAAGCACAAAACGGGTGTTCAAGGCGTTACTGTAATGAAGACATATAGTAGCATAGCATTAGTATCCAACAGTGAAAATTACTGCATTATCAACTATCGATTTACTTCAATTTTTTGCTATATTAGATAACTACCGTGTACTTGACTGAGTTCGTTCCTTCCAGGGCAACGCTGTCGAGCGAGAGCCTGTTGCAATCAATCGTCTTATTCCACTCTAGTACCGATAAAAGAGATCTTCACTCCGTATTATATTCATGCAAACACTCATATCCTATCTGCACTAATCGGGAAGTTCTACGTTCAAGACCACCAACAAAAAAAGAACTTCTCAACTTGGGCTGTTTTATATACGAATTATTAGTATAAGAAACAGCGGAAGTTGAAAATCAGTGCCGAAAAAACCCCATGCCCCTTTACGTCGCTCGCCGAGAGAGGAACTATCTACTTTTTGACGATTAATTTACCTCTGTGACATTTGCCTCTTTGCCACCTGGCAACTAGAGACAACCAAATCGTAGTAGTTTGCATTAAGGTGAAATGTCTGATCGGCACCATGAATCAGACCTGACACTATATGTTCGGCTCAGCTGTCTCCTCACCATTACTCTCATCTCCCTGTTTCCAGACCTGACGTTCTCATCCTGAGACGAAATAGCTCTTCAACTGTGGAAATAGCCTGTCGTCTATCTAGAAGACGTGTCGTTATTGAAATTGACAGCGGTATTGCTCGGCAATATTGAAACGCACGTAATAACGGTGTGCCTATAAAATAGAGCGATCTCACATCCTAAAATCACTGACCTATTAACGCCTCTTGAGAGGCGGACCGTGACATCAGTTCTACTACTGTCTCAGGCGTAACTTTTCAGCGGATTTTGGGGCCGAATTTCGTTTGTTTGCACGCCTCCTAACCCATGGAATTCTGCCCACAGAGATAGAAATATAGCGCTGTAGATAAAAGTTGAGTTCCGGATGTTAAAATATGTAATACAGGATGAACTAAAGCGAGTATGCCGTAAGTAGCATTCTAAGCATGCCTGTATACGTTTTCTATTGGCATATAATTGCGAATATATGTATATCTCTGTTGCCTACATCTTCTATCTAAGTAGCAAACGATACAATGATTCAACAGGAGGAAAAAGTGTCAATAGTTAACATTTGACCCATGTGCTAAGTTCGATAGCTCTAGTTGCTGTTCGAATCTATCTTAAGCCCTGAGCACGTACATTTGGAATTATTTCCCATGTCAACCTTAAGTGTCTGACGTAACAATAAAATCATAACTATCTGTATAATTAATAACAATAAAACAACACAATAAGTGCAATTATTATACTGTGTAATTTCTGCGTCAATTGAGTGTTGCGGAAGCAACGACTGATCAGGTTGACCACCTTTTTCATTATTTATTATATATACTCAGCTCTAGCACTAACCCATATCGTAAGTGTATACCGGATTGTAGCTTTCATGGCGTGTTCATGAAAGAGTTGATCAACGTTGACCGAGCTTTTTTGACAGGACGTTCGGTTATATAAAAATAAAAACCCTTTAAACACAAGCATTAAAAAATGACGAGTATTAGTGCAACAGCTGCGATCTTCGGGAAATAACTAACTCACACGAAACAGCTATACCTTCGTAAAACAGTACGTCTTACGTACTCGACGTAAAACAAAAATACTTTTTAGGTATTTATTTTGTCTTTCGAAATATCGCTTCTCTGAGATTCTCCTGAGATTCTTCTTCTGAGATTTTACTGAATTATTACAGATATATACTACTATAAATTTTGGTGCTCGCTTAGAGCTGTGAACTACTCGTTTCAGTCATCATTAATCATAAATAAGCCATCAGTCGCTTTGAAAAGTTATCCATCTGCAGATGGCACGCTGCCGTCTTCCGGACCGGTAAGTTTACGACACCACACCATCGTACTATTATACTAACTTAGAGAAAATGTATCGCAGTCAAACATAAAATTATCGAATATAGGTTTCTCGTTTCACCGAATTGAGCCCATGGGGGTGACAAATGGGAAGATGAAACTAAGGAATTAAGTTAAAATGATTAGCGATTTTAGGTTGAAAGCCGATTGAAAACGAGTACTAAAGATGTTGCTGTGAAGTTTCGAGACGATAGAAGACAGATCATTATTTCTGTCCACAATAAAATCAATCAATCGAGATTCGCTCGGACGCCTAATGCTATTAAGAAATAAGTGGTTCTTATGTACCTAAAAGCTTTCACTTAGACATTTTTTTATGGCTCAAACTAGAAGGTTTCGAAAAGCTGGATTTGTTAGGATCAGATAGGAAGCCCCACAGTTTTTTAAAATGACGCGCGCATTACGAGAATAATATAGTTTTCCATATAACTAGACGGCATGTGTCAATAAAACAAACAGCAAAACATAATAACAGATTTACATTGACGAAAAACGCGTAATTATTGTTGGATTTGTGCTAAAGTTACGGAGGACAAAATTGTTCGGAACAATAGTATCACATCATCATCATCATCATCAGCCATCAGGGAAACTTCACGCTCTCAGAAGTTATCCTCACATATTCGAATGTTGTTTACAACCTTGAGGACGTATAAAAATTTTATGATGAGTCGTTAGATTGATGAAGCTAATTAGAGTTGCCTTTGCATGACTGGCACTTCGCTCTATGTATGTTCTGCAATGTTTTTTTTTTTGGTCGTTGATCGGGATCAAAGCAACTATAAGCTTCAACAGTATTTTACGTCGTTGGCCTCAATTAGTTGTAATTATTTCGACCAATAGTCGGTAAAAGTGAACTGGTCCAGAGTTAGTCGCGATCTGTTCGCCAATCATTTCTCCCTCCTTTGCTCCCTGGCACATCGCTTAACGAAATCGAGCTTTATTACCTTCTCTCAACGAAAGCCAGTTTTTCCACATCGTCTACTTTTTTTTTTTTTTTTTTTTTTTCGTTGTGTCAACATTTGTTCATTCAGCTGTACTATTTCTGAATCGCGAACCCAGCCTGACCATTTGGTTCAGATGACAACAAAAACAGCACTTGATGGCAGACGACGACGATGATCAATTAGACGGTTCCATATAGCGGAATGATCGACTGACAAACGTCAACAACACGCCTCGAATTCTCAGAGTACTAGTGGCTGTTTATGTAAATGGTTGATGAAATGCCGCCAGAGAACGATTACTCTGTTATCTAAAACTGTTCTCAGTGTACAGCAGAACTAGATCACAGCAGCGCGGCATAGTACTTTACGCGCATTCGCAAACTGATCGGCCGCTTTTAAACGGCAAAAAATAGAAAAAAAAGTCAGCTGATTCTCACCGGTGGTCAGGGCAGGATTTTCTTGGGTTCACTATTGCGCGAAAAGTCGTACGGATGCGGTCGTATACAGTAGCTATAGAAGTAACACAATATTTGATGGCCGTCTTGAAGGGGATAGGGTAAGACAGAAGCAGAATTTGTCGAGAACGCGCGGCCTTATAGACAGATTTCAGTGGATTTTCGCTGCGCACTAGTATATTTCTGAAATCTTCGCAGCAAACGGTTTTTGCTCTTCACTGACCTTACACGTCAATAGGGTCAAGTGTATTACTATGATATATGTATATATATAGGTCTGTAAAAGATCAAGATGGCATATTGTAGAATAATGTGTAAGCAGTGCGTTAACATCTGGGATAAAGTTTATTGCACAATACAATGCGAGCGTATACAATTGGTAAAATTCGAGTTCCTTATTTAGATAATACAAATTTAGATAATACTAAGCAAGGGTAATCGTGTTTGAATTGAAATTTCCCACGACGATTACTATAAAAAATCAAGTTTTTGTTAATAAATTAATAAAATGATTATGCTATCGGCTTGTCGGATACATGCCATTCGTAAAAATTCGCTAAAGGCGAATAAAGTGTACCCTTCAATTAAGTCTGGCTAAATTAGATTGATTTAACATAGGCCTGATTATTATTATGATTAATTAAAGTTAACATGTAGCCTTAGTCAAAAACATTGTTGCTTGAGTTGTTGAATTTGGACGCGTGGTGACCGGATAAAGTGTTTAATCAGTCATTGGTAATAGAATTAGGAATATAAGGTACCTCATCCATTCTACAGGATACGTTGGCTTACTTTAGACAGGTAAATGGACGCGACAGATTGTCGTAAACAACGTATGATACGCCAACGACACCATTTATATCGTTTGCAATGTTCGCTATGTGCCATCACATACAAAGCGTTTATTGAAGAAATTCAATCATAGCATCAACACCAGAAGACCGGAAGGTAAACGGGCCAAAGAGTTGGCAGAATCGACAGTGGCAGCATAGACAGTAAAAGGCAGTAAAAGCAATTATCATTACATCAGATAAACAGCCGGTAGGGTAAGCCAGCAATTAGCCTGGCAGCAACAGCAGCCACCTACCTGTAACCGTGTCTCCTTTAATCGTCGAGAAAAACAAGCAAAATTACGACAGAACTCATTACAATGACATTGTTTATTTGAAGGAAAGTGCGGAGCAAGCTTCCTAGATGAAACGCTTGATGGAAACTCACCATTGAAGTACCGAACGTCCCGTGAGTATCCACCAAGCTCACTAGTCCACGTTAGCACATAGGATAAACTTCCCTCTTTTCCTATTATATTTGATTAGTTTGTTTGGGAATTAGCAAGGTACACAACAACAGTCACCACTGGACGTCCCTCTCCAACAAGTTTCATTGCAAAAACCGTCTACGACAAGAGATTCGCAACTTATTACAAACAATGCCTCTAAATTGTCCTTGTAGACGCCGTGTTGGAGAAAATAAGCTTTCAGTGACAATAATAATAATTCTGGTGCTAGCCGTAGTAGTAGCTACTGTTGTCGCGCACGCCATCGTACCCCTTAAACTATTTCGCTTTCGGCGGTCTTGTTTTTGCCTTTTAATTGTTCTCGGACTGCGCGAATGTTTGTCACATGCTCCAGAAGACGAGGCCTTCTACGAAACAGTTGTAAAGCGTGTCCAACAGATTGTTCCCTCACTCTCGACACTCACTGCTCGGATAGGCACAGGCATCTGCTAACTTAGGCGGATAAATTTAACTCCATCGTGGTTTGAAAGAAGAATGATCAATACGTAGTTTCTGCACGGACAGGCCTTCCCATGCACCGAATGAACTTCCACATCGAAGTACAGAGAGAGAAAAGTTGGCACAGTGATCGTATTATTGTTGATACGAAATACTGACCGATACACCAGGCCGAGGCCGAAAGAAGAAGCTCGTATGCCCCTTCGTAGAATCGATGCAACGTGTAGCTATCTGACCCCTCTGCATAAATTGTGTTTGGTGCCGATAAGCTCTCGAGTCTCACTCTTTTTGGAACGATGACGGTTTCGTGCTGATGGCGGCGGGCGGCCAGGGCGGCGGCGGCGGCGGGCGGCCAGGGCGGCGACGCCAGCAACGAGATGGCAAGGCGTTTTGCGAGACCAGTGTACCGCCTCTCAGGAGCACGGTGGAAAGGGTAAATCACCGACCGCAGCGCCCCCATTCCTAGCAGGATATTAGGCGGCAGATGGGTGGCCTCGTAATAACAAAGCCTTACTGCTACATTGGCGTGCTTGTGTTGAACCAGAGAATTAGAGTCCGGAGAGATCAGTAGATCTCTACGATAATGATAGATTTGAATACTATATGTATACGTTGTACTATTTTGAAATAGTTCACGACCCGTCCTTCGTTCTATCCGATACGGCTTTGCTCGTGCTTTGTCGGGAAAACCATCTTTCTCCTAAAGATGTTGATGCATTCTGCGGATTGCGATACAGAAAGCCCGAGTGTATCAGGTCGGTTGTTTTATTTTATGAACCGACAGAACGAAAAGCCTAACCTGAACGAACAGATATACTAGGATGGCGCATCTACCTAAAGAATTGCTCCTGAGTTTTGTTTCTAAAGTTGTGTCTATATAAAAATAAATATAACAATGTACCTTGCATACTCTGAAAGTGTGGTTTCTGAGGGTAATGATTGTTTAATATAATCACCACTCAGCTCGACAACAGCTTCAATTCAAGACGTTTTTTCGAAACGCTTTTTTTTGTCAATCCGCAAAAAACCCTTCAGTAATAAACGTGAGTTAAAAAGGTATTGCCAGATGTAAACTCCTTGCTGCTCAGATACACTCCGGATGAGAAATCACAGTGAAATTGAATTTTCGGTCAATAGCCTGTCAAAACTATCGAAAAAATTCAAAGGGTGCAAAAAGGCCTAACAAGCCTCAAAAAGACAAACCTCCTGCATTTATCTGCCGACAACCCAGTCTGCGATTGAGATTCTCCTGTCCAAAAAAAATGGCCGTTAACCTAACGTGGAAAGGGCCTACATATATAGAAAATGGCTTCTTAAGCCCCTTTCGATGGTTCCTTGAGCCCTTCAAATTTAAACGTTATTAAGCGACTTTTGGTTTGCCTCATGGAAATCTTCTTCGGATTTTACAGAACTCGCACAAAAACTAGCAACAGTACAGACCGTCAATGTCGATCGGAATATGACGTGTTTAGAGTTAACGGCGCTTCGTATAAGGCGAAGGAATTGTATAATAGGTGATCGATCAAGTTGGGAATGTTCGTTGGTTGTGATGAGTTTATTGTTGAACTCTAGACAGAACCAGTACCCGTCTGAACGCTATTTCGATAATACTCCGTCAAAGTTTTCCCAAAATTTAACGCACCACTCTACATATAAATATCAGACAAATTGCCGACAGCCGCTTTTTGGTTCTTCCAAGCATTCTTTTTTGGATTGCGACATTTTAAAAACGAGCTCGTCATTAATTGTTAGCAAACAGCTTTTCAACAGAAAATTGTCTATCATTGAAGCTGATGCAATATTCACATATGACTTGCCTCCTTTTGAATAAATCGAAATTGCTATGATATAAGCTTTACTAGAAATAGATTTGAAAAAAATGCCTCTTCCTCTCTTGATTAGTCTAAGCCATACCATTGGATACCACCTAAATAAGGGTACAATAGATGCTGATCTTTGGACTGCTGAATTAGAACTGCTTACGCTGCTACGAGAAGACGTGTTTTTTTTTTTGTTTTTATACGTCTTACAAAAACGTTCTTTACTGACTGAGAATTTTAGTCAGTCTAACCTAATATAATAAACAGTTTCTCCCGTTAGGTTATTTATTCCATGGAAACTTGTTCGATGTGTGCTACTCTAAGATGGTTGAGGAAACACCGGGACATCGCGTATTTATGCAAAACAAAGAAAAGTACACACTAGGGTAAATGGTAATGTCGTATTTCTTCCGTGTCAAAGTTTTGTGTATTTCTTTTTTTACGTTAATTTCATCCTTCGAGGAAGATGCATGATAAATTCGATCCTCGATGATCGCAGATCGATATCGTAAGTGACATTTACTGTAACACAAAAAAAAGCAGCAGCGACCTCTCAGCGGATCTCGTGTCTTCTATCGAATATCCTCCCGACGAGTCCCAACGAGGTGTTTTAGTTCGCATCGCGACAGTACTAGGCGGTAATGGAAGCGCTTTCTGGGCCCCTTGAGGTTTCGAAGTCAAAGGACATATTCTCGCAGGTCTGTGCAAAATCTCAAGCTGTTACACATAAAGACTCGTGGTATGCGCGCAGCATCACCCGCTAAGCGCCGTACCATGTTATCGATGTACGCAGACTCTCACGCGACGAGGAGTGAGACACTTTATTTAGTAAAAGAAAGAACAGGGCCCACAAAGAACAAAAGTCTGCCATAGTTATTGGAACAGGCACATCTACATGGCTACAGAATATAATGCAGCAAAGACAAGCACCTGAGGACGCTGTCGTGCACATGCCCAATACATTCTACATCTCTATATTATAGATATGAATTTATTTCGTTCGCTAAAATATCCTGACGGTGTATTTCGCCCGGTCTCTATCTCCAGCACGATACAAAGAACGCTAGATGATAGACCGCTTTTTAAGAAAACGGCTATTCGTTAGTTCGTCTAATAGGCAAATCAATATTATAAAAAGGTCTCGTTGTGAACGAACCTGCGTGGTTTGTCTTGTTCGTTCCCCGCTACCTCATAAAAACGCTCATACAAATCATTTGTCGTGTCTGCCCGCTTGTCCTCAGTCAACTGTGCAAAACATTTCTGTACTCGTTGCTTGTGGATGTATTCTTATACTCGATCAAGTAGTCACATACGGGCTCTTCCCATGCGTTGTTCCTAGGATCATGCCTACATTTTCACGAAACTATGAATTATTCGCAGTTCTACATTTTCAATTTAAGAATTAAACGACAACATGTTCCTTCTTTAATCTGCAAATTATCTTCTAATCATAGTTTTGTGTCAGGCGTTATTGGCAAATGTAAGCTAGTTAAAGTGTCGCTCAGACATGATCCGTGCAAACAACCCCCTCGGTATCAAGTTGTAGGTTGATAACAGGCTAATAAGTACAAAAGCAAGGAAAAATTTGCCGTTCGAGCTTATTCGGACGACTGAATTTCCAATTGAGCTTCTAATCAGATGGGAACCTCCAAATGGCCGTTCATTTTGATCCAGAGAGCGCGGGGTTTTCAAAGGTTCCATCAAAACTGGCAATAGCATAGGGTGTTGGTTTTAGAATAAAAAATGAATTTGTGTGTAATAGTAGCCGACCTTTGCGCAAAGCTCGAAAACGATGATGAGCTTGATGTTCTATATAGGTTTTGTAAATCACACCCGCAAGCATCATTTCGTCCCTACGCAAATACCCTATGAAGGCGTCCAATGTGTTCGACCTCGGCGACGATGCGTCTTGCAAATACGGCTGCTATTTTACATCTATTGAATACAATATAGTATGTGCTTTAGAGAATCTTTGAACGCTGCGATTGGGTGCCGTCTAAAGGCAGTAATAGTTAATGTACGACATGTGCGACTAAATGAAGAGTCCATTACGTGAAACGGTGCCCAGTGTCTTCATTGCAGGGCTCTAACCTGGCGCTTGCCGCGGTAGAGTGGGTGTGATTCACACTACTAATTGTAGCTGAGCTCGATCTAATAAGTAGAAACATATCTTCTTCTCAAATGCTTTAAAACGCGTTTTTTTGCGGAACGGACCGAGTACAGAGGAACTGATTGGTGAAGTAGCACCATAGATAGAGCTGGCTACGCTACGTACTCTATACAGTTATGGCCCTCAGTTCCTTGTTTCAAACAAGGATTTTCAGCTTTGTGATAGTCGAGGAATTTCAATTGATCTCAATCCCTAAGCTGAGGGTAGAGCCACAGCTGGAAAGCAGTGACAAACAGTGACAGTAACGCCTCAGTCGGCTGACCAGGCTGAAGAATCAACTCATTATACGATTTGGATTTAGGCTACCCTCATTGTTGCAGTTGCGATGCCGACAACCGACACGAGACGAATTTGTATGAGATACTATTAATCATTCCAAAATCCCGCCACATACGAGGCGCCAAGCAAGCGAAGAAAACTAAATTTTTTCCCGTAACGCGGTAAGTTGGTCAAGGCTAGGCATTATTATTACTATGCAATCGTTTTAGCTATTCGTTTTAATAGCAGAACATACGATGAACATTCTAGCCGTTGGTAACGTCATCATATGCCCAATAAATAATTTTAGAGGCCCTGTCAAGGTTGTTCAGTTCTTAAGTGTATACAAATACACGCATGCTCGCAAATAAGGCTAGCGCTTACATTACAGCTTCCAGCAGTTCATCTGTTGGCAACACACGGAGAAACCTTGCAGATTAACAAATCTCTCTTATTTATTAGGCTTGGTAAAAATGGTTTTGATTTTGAAGTGGAATTTTAGAATGAATGCATTCTGTGAATACTGAAACGACAGGGCGTGGATATCTTTCCTTCAAGACGATGCCCTGAGTACCATTCAACAAGACTACGAACCATGCACACAGAAATCCTGTACTACTACCCCATAGACGGGATTTGACCTAACGCTCTTCTGGGAATAACCTGGTCAGCCTAGAACGTTCTTTTTGTTGTAAAGAAAGCACGTTCGCGTGTACACCACGCGAATATGATCTAGATCAATTGAGACGCTGCATATAGATGGCGGTTGTGCTTGGAATAGACCCGAGGACCCAAAATTTCTATTTTGGTATAAGGAGAAACACGAAGCGAACCCGCAAACGAAACGAGGCAGTTTTTTTTTTCTTTCTGATTTTTTTTTTACGTAGCTTTAGCTGAAAGCCATTGAGGCTATATTTCATCAGTGTGGCTTAATAATTAATAAAAGTGTGAAATAAATGGTTTTACATATGGTTCAAAAAAGCGCTCTCATGTTGACAGCTTTTACTTGCTCCCAAGGAGATTTGTTATCAATTAGAAGACCGCTTTCTGGGAAAAG